GGGAAAAATACTACTTCCCGATAACAAGACACTTGCTCTCGCAAATGTAAAGAAGGGTTAAATTGACAGTTTAAAATCAGAACGGAAATCAAGCCGAAACTATTTGAGACGAAGACCTGAATACATAAATAGCGAACGAAAAAATAAGATCCAGCAGGGAACTGAACCCGACTTTTGGTTCCTCAAACAGGCGTTTGCCATTTAAATAAACAGGTAGCTGCCTGAGATTAATCGGCTTTTCTGCAAAAAAAAAAAAAGTCAGGTCAATTGCTTCCATTTGTATTGTATAAGTTGTTTATTCAACAATTTTTTTTATCCCTATTTCATATAAGCATCAATTTTGCGGTGTAAACAGAGGTTTTCCAAGGTCAATAATAATGATCAAAAATGTTGGTTATAGCCTATTTTATTCTGCATGCCAATTTTCACAACACAGAGGCAAAGCGGAGCTTCGCGCCACTTGCGATAAAAAAAGTTCAAAACAAAACTAAAAAAGTTGAAAACTGGGTGAACCAAGTTTCGTGCGTCTCGATAAAAAGGAAACTAGGGAACAGCTAGAGCTGGAGGTACGAGTTTGATATTTTTTGAATTTGTTATACTGATGCAGGACGAAATTCATAACTTAAAAAATGGAATTTGCTCAAAACCTTAAATGTTTCTCTGCTTAAGTGAGAAGAATTTAACTTTTTTGAGGTATTTGAATTTTCGCTAAGACATAATTTTTCTTAAAACAATTAAGGCGTATTCCGACCAGTCTCAATAAAAAAGAAAATAGTTTTTTTTTCAAATTGGTGTTGTTGTTTTCTGCATGCTGAGATAAAAAGATCTGAACGAAAAGAAAACTTAGGCATATATGAGAGTCATAGTATAAAAATGTCAATTGGAAAACAGCTTTTGAAGAAAAATGACTAGAAAAACGAAACAAAAATTTAAAAATTTTTGAAAAAGCTTCCCAAAATTGCGCTAAAAAACTCCGAAAACTACCTTAACTTGAGCAAAACTGAACTTTCACGGCTTAAATTAGCCTAAATAAGATATTGTAAGACTACACGATCACCTTATTAGCTAAAAACTAGACCAAAATCAAAACTTTCAAACCGGTTTTTCTCGACACTTTGAAAAAAAAACGAAAATTTTTTAATGTCGTTCGAATCACGACTGAAAGAGCTTTTATGACATATCACTCGCACCATTCCAATGATTATTTGTGGTACCTAATTTTGCGTGGAAAAAAAATTAAACACGCCCGAATATAAATTTCCTCCCCATTTTCAATGGTCGGAACACAGATTATTATTATCATTAACCCAACTTCAGCGAACTGGATCAATAAGTCTAAATGGCAGTATTCTTTCGGTAATCCAATAAATTGGTTTGATATTCTATTTTGATTTTAGGTCCGTCTGGTTGCCAGCGACCCGAAGAAAGCTGCAATGAGGAATCCGTCGGCTGGTATGACCCTCAAAAATTGCAGCAATCCATATTAAAATCAAAAGCCTGTAAAATGCAGCCGTTTCAGAACAAAATTCGCAGCGTTATCGTCCTGCGGAAAAAATACTCCTGACATCGACCAGGATCTCAAAAACTAAATCAACCTGTTGTCAGCGTCGTCAACAATTTTCTCTTAAGTTAAAAAGTAAAAGATTAAAAATTTAGTGAACTCCAAGTGCAAACAGAGCTCAGGATTTTTTTCATTATATGAATCTTCATCCAATAGCTATCTGGGAAAAAAACGCCGAAACTACTTTCAAAGAGAGGAGAGAACTACAGGAAAGGCTTCAACTAACTAGAACTTGTCAGGACAAACAAGAGAGCAAACATAGACTGATAGATTGCTCAAGATAATTGCCCAAACTCAGAGGAGCAAATCGACATTAACTGAAAAGACATTAACCTCGAATATTTATTGCTGGTAGTTTAAAGAAAAAACTGCGAAACGCCACAATATATACAATCTACTTGATTGTTTCTTGTCTTACAATTTTCTGAATCACAGAGAGGCGAAGCAGAGCTTCAGACCCCCTGCGATTCAGAAAACTGTTTCAATTGTGGCGTTTCGCATTTTTTTAACATTATTAGCAATAAATATTCGAGATTAGTATACAACACGACCGACTGGAACTAAATAGGAAATAACATACCAGGGTAAATGGGCCAAAAATAAGCTGAAACCCAGTTTCTCGAAAAAAAAACTTTGCAAAGAAAAAACTGTTTCTAAGAACTCTTATTATAATTACAGAAAAACATTGCAATGCTCCGAATACATCATTTAATGAGCACATGCACTCGTAATAGTAATCAATTTCTCATTCGGAAACTAAACCGACAGATCTTCAGCCAAAAACCAAAAGGCCTCAAAAACGACTAAGAAAAAACGTTGTAAAGCAATGTCAATCCTCTTACAGATTTTTAACAGAAGTTTCATACGGGAAAAATACTACTTCCCGATAACAAGACACTTGCTCTCGCAAATGTAAAGAAAGGTTAAATTGACAGTTTAAGATCAGAACGGAAATCAAGCCGAAACTATTTGAGACGAAGACCTGAATACATAAATAGCGAACGAAAAAATAAGATCCAGCAGGGAACTGAACCCGACTTTTGGTTCCTCAAACAGGCGTTTGCCACTTAAATAAACAGGTAGCTGCCTGAGATTAATCGGCTTTTCTGCAAAAAAAAGTCAGGTCAATTGCTTCCATTTGTATTGTATAAGTTGTTTATTCAACAATTTTTTTTATCCCTATTTCACATAAGCATCAATTTTGCGGTGTAAACAGCGGTTTTCCAAGGTCAATTATAAAGATCAAAAATAATGGTTATAGCCTATTTTATTCTGCATGCCAATTTTCACAACACAGAGGCAAAGCGGAGCTTCGCGCCACTTGCGATAAAAAAGTTCAAAATAAAACTAAAAAAGTTGAAAATTGGGTGAACCAAGTTTCGTGCGTCTCGATAAAAAGGAAACTAGGGGCCAGCTAGAGCTGGAGGTACGAGTTTGATATTTATTGAATTTGTTATACTGATGCAGGACGAAATTCATAACTTAAAAAATGGAATTTGCTCAAAACCTTAAATGTTTCTCTGCTTAAGTGAGAAGAATTTAACTTTTTTTGAGGTATTGGAACTTTCGCTAAGACATATAATTTTCTTAAAACAATTGAGGCGTCGCCGCTTCAGCAGGAAAAAATCTCGCAACCGGTTAATTCGGCTGAACTTTTCACCTCAGATTTGATAGAGTAGTTTTTAAAAAAAATCAAAAGTTTCTGAAACATAGTAAAAATTGAAAACGTTTCAGAGACCCATGTGCGTAGTCGCGTATGACAAAGAGCTTCCCGTAACCTTTTTTTTTGTCCGATAATAATTTTTTGTGAAAAAGTTTGAGTATCCGCTGATGCAGGGGAGCTTTCAACTACCCTATATCTCCATTGATCCCATAACCTCAAATTTGGGAGATAAGTTTTCGAAAATACTCAAAAAAACAGTCGAAAATCAAAAATTAGACTATTTCGAAGGCCATAACTTCATGATTGAAAAACTTGAGCGTATCGCTTTTCAAATACGTTCTTATCACTGATACCAACATCTCAGATTAGGGAGGGCAGACTTCGTGAAAACGAAAAAAAAAATCAAAAATATGGTTAAAGAAATCCCCCACAGACTTTTTCGGAGGCTGTAGACAGAGGTGTAAAGTAGAAAAAGACTCGGCGAGTATGCTGTCACACAGGGGAGTAGTCGGTTTTTCCATTGCTACCTTCTTTCGAAAATCGGAGAATAGTTTGAAACAAAACTAAAACTCTGCAAAAAAAAACTAAAATATTTTCGAAGCATCTCAAAAATAATATAAGAAAACCCAATCCCATATTTTCATAATACCTGTGTTCATAAAACATAGCCAATTGAAGATTGGAACAGACTTATAAACGCAAGTAAACATTAAAAAAACACTGACTTTGCTGAAAAAATCTCAACTTTCGAACTTCAAAGAAAAAAATAGATGCCCTTTAAGCTCTTTGAATTTGTAGAACGATTTATTATTGGCGCTTTTTTGATAACATTAACCAACTTGAGAAAACTAGATCAACAGATAAAGTTTATATTCCCCTGGAAATCTAAAAACAAAATTCCACTTTCGAAACTAGAAATCGTTCATGTTTTTTTTTGCCCAACTTCCACGTTCGTATTTGAGAGTGCTATTTAAGTCACTTTCACCAGGTGAATTTCAATTGAATTCAAAAAGTGCATTAATACCAAAGTGCATTCATAAATGCATCAATATGTATTACTGCACAACTAGTTATTAGAAACTTAATAAAACAGCAAGACCTATATAAGAGTCTTCACTACGTTCATTACTCTTAAACAGGAACTCTTTGAAAACAAGCCAATTTAATTTTAAATTAGCAACGGAACAAAAGTTACGAAGCGTTAAGAAAGCCGACAATCTTTCAGCAAACACCAATTGCGCCGGAAAACAATTTGATTTTACAAAAACTTTAAAATGTTTCAAGCACCCCACAACAATGAACAACACCTGCAACTATCATGATACTTTTTAGAGCATAAGAAAAACCCGTGATGTGGCAACTAGGCCGACAAAATTTGACCAGAAAAATTTCAAACCGCGGACCGAAGGGTGAAAAGGCCATGGTGTTACCTTTAGACAGAGTGTGAGGGAACTCGGAAGTTGTTAAGATTCAATGATAAGATTCAGTAATAAAAACTCTTGTTCCCGATTACAAAACACTTGCTTTCGCAGACGTAAAAATATGAAACAAAAATTTAGCTTAAAAAGTTGCAGGTGGGATAAGAGGGAAAAGAGCCGAGAAAAGTATAGTTCTCAGTTACAAGAATCTACAAATATGCTTAAGTGCAAATATGCGTACAAATCCCACAGAAAGGGCCATTATAAGGTAAAACTAAAACATGGAGCGATAGGCCACAGCTAGACTTTATTAATCGTAACAAATTAGTAAAGAAATAGATTTCAAAGAAAATTTTACCTTTCGGAATTGAGAAGATCGATGAATTTATTTTCCACATTTTTCACATCCTGGTGATCTGGGGCCACTCCGTACCGCACAAGTCCGTGAGCTGTAGGCATCTTTTCAACAATGTCTACCACAGTATTTTGCGAACTTTTCAAAAGATGGCCAGCAGTGAAAAAAGCTGCTGGTCCACTTCCAATAACACAGATTCTTTTCATTGCAACTGAAAGCAGATCACGATACATCCAATATTATTCTTAGATGCGAAGCCTTTCATCACCCACTTGCTCTGCAACAAATAATGGCTAATGAAAACCTCCCTTTTATTTGCGCTTAGAAAAGTCGTTAACTCTAGTCACAATTAGACTAAGACTCTATAGCCATTGCCTCAAGGACCGGAGACACTATCTCGCGTGCTTTTCTACCTCATTTGATCGGAACCAATACTCGGCTCACTTAGACACGAAACCTTTAGCTGGTTCCAGCTTAAAGGCTGCTACAAAAGTACCCCATCCCTCTTTAAAATTAAAGACCGTCCCCATGGCCAGCGAACGCGGTTTAAAACATAGCCAACTACCATTTGAAAAAGAGTAATGAACGCAGGGAAACTGTGTAACATTCGTCTACTGCAGTCACACATGAGGCTTAAGAAAAATAGGCCCTATAACTATTGGCTCAAGAGTCAGGGACACTATCTCTTGTGTTTTTCTACCTCAAATCAGTCGGAGCCAATTCGGTTCGTTTGTGACATGAGACTACGACCCGTTACAGCTTAAAGGCTACTACTAAAATATCCCCCCACTCTAGAATTAAGAACGTCCTCATACTTAGGTCTCTAGATGCCCAAAATACATGAACGCCGTTAAAAACCGGGTCGGAACAATCCGTTAAGTTATTTTTTATTAGACAGTGGAACTTTGATCCATTTCAGATGGATCAACCTAAAACTCGCCTTATCTCAACATAACAATTATAAAACACATGTAACATTCGCCCGGAAGATACATATCAACGGATAACAAAACTAAGTCTTAAGACGACTGGCTAGCGTCTAAACAGAGCTTTGCATGTTTTTCACCGTCTCTACCAAGCCAGTACTTTTCGGTGGTCTTTCTTACATCAGGCTGACAAAAACGTTACTGTTCTCCGGCTTCGACCAGAACGCTCAAATTAACTGAATTACATGCACAAATAGTGAACT